AACAGTGCAAATCAGTTCTCAATACTTGATTGTTAATCCACGGATTTTTCCAAGTTTCATTTCATCTCAGATAAAACCTACCACAGCATTTCTCCAATGTAAATATGCTTTGGATTATGCCGAAGTGCTTTTAAAATGCACATTCTGGTATCCATCCCTTGGACATTTTAAGGCAACAGGCTTGCAATGAGGCTTGGGAACCAACATTTCCATCCTGTTCCGTGTGCAGGGCTGATGTGCGTGGTCCTTGGTGTATGCTTTGAGAAACTGTGTAATGGGAATATTTTTAAAATTGGCATTGGTATGTGTTGACATGTAAAAACACTGTGAGTTCATCTTTATCCAATCATGAGGACACAGCCTGTTTCAGAGTAATCATGCCTGAGACTGAGATAGGAGAAATGATTGTGGTCAGGAACCTGCCTTGCGGTAGTGTGTGTCAGCATTTCATGTCCCTTTGAAGTGATTTGATTGACAAATACCTTAGGATGGTTTCATTAGGGCATCTGGAAGAAAAGTCCCCCCACCCCCGAAACTGAATCAAGAGCTTCACTCCTGCTAGACCAGCACTACCACTGAGCTACATGACCAGACACTCCTCTGAAATTTGAGCCACATTGCCTTTTTGTTTTTGGCTTTTCTTAAACAATGAAATTTTGAAAATCTCATCTGCTTACATAAAGTAGGCTGCATGGTAAGTTCTTCCCACGTGGATAAAGAGTCCTGGGCCCTATGAACAGAGTGCTGATTCAGGACCTCAGTGATTCAGACTGTGTCTCAGGACTCTGACTAGCTCATCTGCCTCCCTCTGCCAGAGGTGGAGCCAAGCACACTTCAGCTTGGTGGAGTAGCATTTGAGTGCCTGCAAGTCTGAGTTGTTCTTTGGGGATCTGATCATGGCATCTGGATTTAAGGTTGTGACAATGTTAAGTCTCCTGAGTATGATTATTATGTTTCACAGTGTTACAGAGTAATGTCCTGGCTCTTAGCAGGTACAGTCTTCAAAGGGAAGTCCTCATGATGTCTGTAACTAACTTTCAGACGGTTCAGAGAGAGAGAGAGACACAGAGACAGAGAAAGCAAACATGGCAGGATTTTAACACTTAATGATCTAGGTGAAGCCTAGGTAGATTCTTTCTATCCTATTTTTACAATTTTTCTGAAGGTTTAGAATTTTTCAAAATAAAAATTGGAGGAAAATATGATACAAAAAAATCAGTGATATTAAGATCACCCAACAGAATTTAATGTGTCCATTAGAAGAGGAAGAGTGATATCAGTGAAGATGATGGTATGGACACCTCTAAGATATTCCTACATAAAACCAATAAGAATATTGATTAAATGAAAAAAGAATACCATTTCACAGCTCTAAGATTTAACTGAAGTCTTTGTAATAATCTAGAGTATTTACCCAAGAAGGATGGGTAAATTTTGATGTGAAGGGGACTTTCTGGTATTGTATCTTCTCCCGGGAAGCCAACAGCCACAAACACAGCAAGCAGCATAGCCTAGCAGTTACCAGAGGGGTTGAATAGGATTAAAGATCCTTAAGGCATCACTGAGAACTGTCATTATCTGAACCTCTGAGTTTCCCTGGAAGACTCCACTGACAAGGCTGTCTTTATGTGACTTGTTTTGGAACTTTCCAGTTAAATCTCCTGAGTATGATGCAAAAGACCTTTTCTTTGGAAGTGAGGGGTATTTACCAAAAATGGTTATTGGAAGTGTTCAGCTTTTTGCTGTCTGAGACAGTGGAAAACAGACTAAGATGTGCTTCCACTCAGGAAAGACCTGACTTGACTAAGCCCTAGGATCTCACTTGGAGGTGACCTTAAGCTCTGTGTGAGGAGCAAGTAAGGTGACAGGAAGTTGTTGCCTACTGGATTCAGTGTTGAAGGTGCACTATAGCATCATGCCGAATTTATGCTCAAAGATTGGGAAACTCACTGGTTCCAGGCAATAGTTCCATGGGAGGAAATCTTTGTCCAGCCAATAAGTGGTCACAGACAACACAGGTTACAGACTCCGGGATTAGTTCAGGAAACTCACTAATAAGCAGCAGTAAATCATGGGGAGGAGAGATATTCTGAATTCCATGGTTGCCACATTACATTTTTTATAATGTCCACTTTTTACAAAAAGCATGACTCATGTAAGTAAATAATGATCCATTCACAGAAAAAAAAAAAAAAAAACTTAGTCGTTAGAAATTATTCCTGAGGAAGCTCAGACACTATAGTTACTATCAAAGATTTTGAATGAGCTATATTAAAGAAACTACCTTTAAAGAACTAAGGAAAATTATGAGAAGTGTTTCTCACCAAATAAGAGAATACTAATAAAGAGGTATGACATCATTTTTTAAAAAAATTATGAAGCTGAACAATGATCATCAGTAAAATTAAAATTTCACTAACGAGTGATCAACATCAGGTTTGAAGATGTAGAAGAAAGAATCAACAAATATTAAGATAGGTCATCTACGATGATCCAGTCTGAGAAACAGAAAAAGAATGAAGAAAATGATCAAGCCATCAGATATATCAACATACATCTAATGAGAATCAAAAAAGAGAGAAAAAAGTGGTATACAAATATTTGAAGAAATAATGGTCAGCAATTTCTCAACTTGATGAAAGACATGTGTTAATGCATTCAAGAATTTATTTATTTTATTTTAAAGAATATAAAACAAAACAAAATAAACAGTGTAAGAGATACAGGACTTCAAAACATTACAAAATCAACAATAGTTACCATATTGCCTTTTGATATCTTCAAAATAGCTGCAGATAACTTTGGGCGTAGTAAAAATCAAACAATGAAATAGAATAGAAACAATAAAAACAAAACAATGAATGCAATAAAAGACTTCAAAATCAGCTAGTAGTAAATCCAAAATTGCTATAACATATCTTGTTATCCTTGAAATAGCTTCTCTTGCCATCAGATTTAACATAAACAAAACAGAGAATAAAACTCAATCCAGTACAACAATGGAAACGATATTGGACCTCAAAACAAGACCATGGGGAATCAACAATGGCTCCTCCCACAGGAGGAGATCCCCGCTAGATGTCACACTGCGTACTGTTATCCTCTGAAGCTATGATCAGACCACTGGCCATAGACCTGCAGTGTTAGTGAAACAGAAAGCACCACAGGCATCCCGCTGCAGTTCACCTCGGTAACTATCATCACAGCCTGTGCTTCTGTGGGTAAGCTGGTCGCTTACAGGAGAGTAGGGAGGTGGGGAGTTCATACTTCTGGTTGCCAGCCTGCGGGTCAGAAGGGGCTGGGCCGCTTCCTGTTGAGCAGTGGCCTGTGTATGGCGCTGGCTCCCAGACTGGACTTGTTTTCTGCTGGGCCATGCTCCCGCCACCCACCCTGCTTCTGCGAATGGCGCTGACTCATGGGGAGAGGCTTGGGTCTGACTGTCACATTCAAGAATTTCAACAAAGTCTAAGTGCGATAAACTCAGAGAGATCTACACTAGACACATTGTATTCAAACTGCTGAAAGTCAAAGACAGAGAGAAAAAATCTTTAAAAAGCAAGAGAACTCATCAGGAATCCTTGATATGATCATGAAGAGGAGAAGCTTTTGGAGGCCAGAAGTGTGGCGTGTTAAAGTCCTGAAAGAAGAAAACTACTTGCCTTTAAACAGCAAAACCTTCAAAACTGAAAAAGAAATGAAGACATTTCCAGATAAAAACTGAGAGACTTTATCTTTAGCAAATATGCCTGCAAGGAGTGCTAAACGGAGTCTTTGGAGCTAAAATGAAAGGGTGCTAGATTGTAATAAACACACAGAGCATCAGTGAAAGTAACCGTACAGGGTAAAGATAGAGGAAACACAAATATATTTTTATTTGGGACTCTTTTTTCTGCTGATTTAAATGATTTATTACATAAAGAAATAATTATAAATCTGAGTTGAACATACAATGTGTGAAGATGAAATTTATAATACAATAATAGCAGAGAAGAGGGGAATTAGAAATAGAAAAACAAGTTTTTGTATACTGTTAAGTGAAATTAAGGACTTTTCTAAAGAAAAAAATAGGAAATCTGACTAGAGCTATAACTAATGAATGGATTTATTTAATTAAAAAATTCCCCAAATGACCAGGAGTATAGCTCAGTGGTAAAGCACTTGTCTAACATTCATAATACCCTAGACTTAACCCCCAGAATAAAATAAAATTAAATTAAATAATTTTTCTATGAAGAAATCCTGGCACAAATTGCTCATTTCAGCTGTTTAGTGAATTAACCACCAACACTTCACAGACTCTTCCTAGAGGAGGGGGGCATTCTGCCCAAATTACTCTGTGCAACAACTATTTCCCAGGTCAGACAGAGACATCACAAAGCAAGAAAATTACAGACCAGTATGTCTTATAAATATAAATGCAAAAATTCTCAACAAAATACTACCAAATTGACTCTTGCGATGTTTTTTTAAAAAAGGACCCTGTATCTGAGGTTCATCCCAGTAATTCAGGCTTAGCATAATAACCTCAGTATATATAGGAAAAACATGTGACAAAAATCCAACACCCTTTCATGGGTAAAAACACTGAAGATACCAAAAATAGAACTCCAATCTGATAAGGGCATAAATGTATACACAAACTAACTTATAAGAAGTATACTTGATGAATTACTGAAAGCTTTCCTTATAAAATTAATAACACCACACAAACCTATATATATATATATATATATATATATATATATATATATATATGAGCAAATATTATTGTTGTCATTACTATTCATTATTTTACTGAAGGTTTTAGCAAGGATGGTTAGACACTCAGAATGGAAAGGAAGAAATAGAACTATTTTTGTTTACAGAAGACATGTTCTTATAGATAGAACATTATGAGACATATATAAAAACAGTTGGGGCTAATACACAAAATCAGCAAACTTGTGAGCTATAAGGGCTATATACAATACCTGGATGTGGTGGCACACACCTGTAATCCCAGCGCCCAGGAGGCTGAGGCACGAGACTCACTGCAAGTTTGAGGCCAACCTAGATCTTATAGTGAATTCAAAGAAAGCTTGAAATGCATGGTGAAACCTGTCTAAAAAAAAACAATGTATGTATTTCAGTATGCTTGCAATAAATAGTCTGAAAATGAGATTAAGAAAATGATTGCACTATAACAGCATCAAGAAGAATAAAATACTTGGAAATACATTCAACAAAAATGCAAGACTTTTACACTGAAAATTGGAACATATCATATCTTTTCTCTGACAGCTTTTAATATTCTGTTCTTATGTTGAATGCTTGGGATCTTGATTATTATATGTCTAGGTGTAGATTTATTTTGGTTATAGCTGACTGGAGTTCTGTATACCTCATATATCTGAATATTTTTTCCTATGCTTGGGAAGTTTTCTTTAGTTATTTCTGTAAATAGCCTTCGTATTTAATTTGTGTTTACCCCTGATTCTTCATTCACATTTTTTATTCTTAAGTTATAACTTCCTTTTGTTGGTTTGTAGCCTTTGTATTGTTACTTCCTAGTTCCTTAGGTTTAATAGTGTATCTTTAGTTTCTTTCAAGGAGTTTTGCCAGCTTTCAATAGAGTTTTTACTTTCTTGGTATTCTCTTTGAATCTGTTTCATGTATTCTAAATTTTTTAAATATTCTTCATTGAAGATTTCCCTCATTTTTCTATGCTGCTCTATTCTTCCATCTGTGTCTTCCTTAGAGGTGCTTAGCAATTCTTTTATTGTTTCTCATTTCTTCTTTTACTTGTGATAGTATTTCTGTTCTAAGTTCTTTTATAGCCTCTTGAAGTTGTATCTTTATTTCAGTTGCTGTTGGTGTGTGATTCTTGATCTCTGCTGTGTTTACATCTCGTGGATCAGTACAGCTTGGGTTGGAGGCCAGAGACTGTGTTTTGCTTCTTCTTGTCATGTTCCTGGTTTCTTCCAGACAAGTGGGTAATGGGGTCCCCAGCACTTCCTGTGTTGGCTAAGTCTCTGAAGCAAGACTTTGTTTTTTCTAGTCCATGCTGTCTAGGGATATCTGAAGGTGACCATTGGGTGCATTGTTGTGGGTCTATCAGTGGCTCATGGAATGCAAGCAAGGGTGGGGCAGGCTGGCACCTCCCTCCTTAGCTGGTCAACATCAGGGTACCCTCACCAGGTATAGTATGCACAGTGGGATGGGGCTGGTTGGGAGCAGCTTTAGGGAAACCTTGGTGATGGCTGTTGGACTGTGTACAGGGGCAGGACTCAGTCCAAGCAATTTCTGCCAGTCTGCTCTGTGCTAGGAGTGGCTGAGTGAAGCTGGCTACAGTTCTGGCTCTGGGCTTATCCTGCCCAACTCCAAAATGGCACCTGGCCAATTGCCCACTTCCACGGGAGGACTGAGTCCCCCAATACTCACCACTAGCCAGTGTATTTCTCTGGTCCACTGCTCCCCTCTGTCACTGCATATCCCCAGCTCAGGAAGGAGGTGCCAGCCTGCACCCAATGGTCACCTTCAGAGAAAAGAAACAGATCACCTAAAAAGGAAAACTTATCAGAATCACAACAGACTTCTCAACACAAACCATCAAATCAAAAAGAGCTTGAAGTGTGAAGTATTCCAAGTCCTGAAAGAAAATAGCCTCCAACCCAGATTAATGTACCCTGTGAAACTATCTTTCAAAATTAATGGAGAAACAAGATGCTTCCACAACAAAGAGGAACTGGGGGAGTTCATGACAACCAAACAAACTCTACAAAAAATATTGAAGGACATTCTAGAGAGAGAGAAAAAAGACCATAGTTTCAGGAACAGTGGAAGAATACGGCAAACATTGGAATGAAGGGGAGAAGTAGACAACTAACAACAGAAAATAGTATGGTGGAGATGAGGCAGAAAAAGTTGGTCACAATCACTAATGGCTTTGATTCACCAATAAAAAGAAACACAAACAGACTGGAAAAGGAGCTAGGGTCCATCAGTATACTTTATATAAGAAATACATTTAACCTGAAAGGGGGCTTATAGACTGAAAGTCAGAGACAAGAAAGCAATGCTCTATGTGACAGGGAATTAGAAAAAAGTGGGGTTAGCTTGGTTCTCAGCTGAAGATTGGTTAGAAAGCCATGACACTTTTATACAATGGAAAACTACTCATCTATAAAGAAAGACAACCTTGAGGTTCTTGTAGGTAAATGGATACAATTTAAGATCATGCTCAGGGGTAAAAAGGCTCAGAATCACTTAGGTGAATAGTGGGTTGCCTCCCTAATGTATAAAATAAAGGAGTTATCCGGATACAAAATGTACAATGCACCCTGTGAAAGTAAAAGGTTTAAAGAATGGTTTAAATTGGGAGGCAGCGGCCACTGTCAATCTATTATCATGATTTGAAATCCATATTATTTTCATTGCTCTATTTAGTTTGGTTTTATTCGGTTTCAGTTTATCTACTTCCATTAGATTTGATGGCATGGACAGCTATTCCAAAGATAGTAAGATATACTATGGTACCATTTTTGATTTCCTGTTAGCTTGATGTGAAGCACTGTATTGCTTTCACTGTTTTGTTTTGACTGATTTTATTCTATTCTGTTTTGTTTGATAGAATCAAGTTTGATGGTATAGGCAACTACTTTGAAGATATAAGATATACTACAATACTCAATCTGGTTTGACTATTCTTTTGAAGTCCTATAATGTCTCCAGTGTTTTGTTTTTATTGGTTTTGTTCTCTACTGTTTTGTTCAATTTTATTATGCCTGATGATATGGGCAATTCTTTTGAAGATAACAAGAGGCATTACGATAGCCATTGTTGATCTCCTTGTATTTTGTTTCTAAGTCATGCACCATGTTCATTCCTTTGTTTTGATTGACCCTATTTTGCTTTGTCTCATTTGGTTTTATTCTCTTCAACATAAAAAACTACCTATAAAATTATAGTATTAAAAATTGTGGTATTGGCATGAGGATGAACATATTATTTAATGGGATAGAATTTGAGAGTTAAGTAAACTTGGACAGTGGTGGTCAGTTGATTTTCAGCAGTGGAACCAGTTACATGAGAAAATAATATTCATTTCAAGAATGGTTCTAGAACAACTGGACTTCCACATGCAAAAGAATAGAAGTTGTCATCCATATGTGGTATGTATGTACTGCATCATATACAAAACTTGAGTTAAAATGAAGTAAAGGTGTAAAAGCTGTAATTATGAATCTTAATGACCTTAGATTAGGCAACAGAATCATACATGTGACATCTAAAACACAAACAACTACAGAACAAGTATATAAATTGAACTTAAAATTAAAAGCTTTTGTGAAACCATGAAAATAAAAAGATAATTTGCAGGTTAGGAGAAGATATTTGCAAATCAGAACCTAATAAGGGTTTAATATTAGGTGAGTTGGGGGAGAGTATTTATAACTCAACAGCAGAAAGGCAGATTGCTCAGTTTAAAAAGGGATAAGAGGTTTGAATGGACATTTAACCAAAGATGGTACCCAAGTGCCCAATGAATACTTTGAGGAGATAGTCACCATCATTTGTCATTAGAAAAATGCAGATCAAACCACAATGTAAATCATACTGCTGGAACTGCTAATATCCAAGTCACATGTGTCACTGAGAAATCTACTTTGGAAGTTATTTAAATGGCTAAATATAGAATTTCCTCTGAACCAGCAATTCCAGTTCAAAGCATTTACCCAATAGAATTGAAAACATGTATTCATGTGTTCCTAGGAGCATTATTCACAATATGCAAAATACATAAGCAATCAGCCAGGCATGGTGGCTCACACCTGTAATCCCAGCCTTCGGGGGGCTGAAATAGGAGGATTGTTGCGAGTTCGATACCAGCCTTGGATACAAAGTGAACTCAAGGCCAGCCTAAACTACATAGCGAGACCCTGTCTCAAAAAGACAAAAAAAAAAAAAAAAAAAATGTAAGCAATCTAAATGTCCATCAGCTGATAATGGAAGTTATCATGAAATTACATTCATGCAATGAAATACCTTTCAGCCACAAAAAAGTAATGAAGTATTGATACATGCTATATTGTGAATGATCCTCAAAGACATTAGGCTAAATGAATGAAGCCAGACACAAAAAATCAGTAACACTGAATTCATTGTTATGAAATATGCAGAATAAGAAAATCCATAGGCTACAATACAGGACCCACTGAGCAGAGGTGCTGTGCTGGGGGAGCTGATCCAGGCCTTGTGAAGAAGGCTCTCAGTGTCATACACGTGGGTAGTGTGTGGGTGGCGAAATCATGCCTTAGAGAGAAGACCAGAAAAGGAGCCAGGAAGTGTATATCCATGCCTTACAGAGCAAGGAGATGCTATAGATGCAGAAGGACTGTGCGTCCCCCATGGTGACACCCAAGGGCTCTGTGGTGTTGTCCTGCACCAGCAGTCTGACCACTTCACTTAATGAATCATCCCTCATTTTCTTTTTTCTTTTAAAGATGATAAAACAGAATAAAACCAATCAAAACAAACCAGTTTAAGAGATACAGGACTTTAAAACATTATGAAATCAACAATAGTTACTATAGTGCCTCTTGATATCTTCAAAATAGCTGCAGATAACTTTGGACATAATAAAAATCAAACAGAACAGAAACAATAAAAACAAAACAATGAATGCAATAAAGGATTTCAAAACAAACCAATAATAAATCCAGAATTGCTACCATAATATATCTGGCTATCCTTGAAATAGCTGCTCCTGCCATTTGACATAAACAAAACAAAAGAGAATAAAATCTAACCCCAAAAAACAATGGAAATGATATAGAACTTCCAAAACAAGACCATAGGTAATTAACAGTGGCTGCAACCTGCAGGAGGAGATTCCCCCCTAGATGCTATACTGTGTATCATTATCCCCTGAACCCATGATCAGACCACTGGCCTTAGACTTGCAATGTCAGTGAAACACCAAAGCACCACAGGCAAGCAATTGCATTTCAACTCCATAGCGATCATCACAGCCTGCGTTTCTCCAGATAAGCTGGTCACTTATGGTGGGTGGGGGTGGGGTGGGGTGTGGTAGTTCTTGTTTGCCAGCCCATGCACCCGAATGGGCTGGGGTCTGGCTGTTCCATCTGGCAGCAGCCCGCGCATGGTGTTGGTTCCCAGACTGGACTTGCTTGCTGGTGTGGCCTTGTTCTCTCTCATCATTGCACATTTTCATGTGAAATTGTAAAATCAGTGGAAAGGCAAAAGCAAAGTCTCTAAAGAATCTTGCTAAAACCAGCTGTGTAAGCCCAGAATCTAGGGATTTCTAGATTAACTGTTGAAAATGCTTACTGTTAAAATTAAGTGATAACATGTTTAGTTTTAAAGTCTTTATTGCCATCAAATGTCTTCATTAAGTAGAGTTCATAAATTTTTTTCATATTTGGGGCTATAATTAAAATTTTAAATTATGCATTGTATTTAATACTAGTTGGTATGCACATTTTATAAGTTTTTTGTTCTTAATAAAGGGCTACTGTTGGAAGTGTCATATTAAGAGAATTTCCTTGCAGTTGTGGGAAAAAGTCTGTATTAGAATAAATCATATTAGACAGCAAGATCTTTTATCATGTTTAATCCAGCAGTTCTGGGAAATGCAAGTCAATTAGTGGAATTAAATCTCCAATAGTAGCAGTCACTTTATCAGGTCACTATACCCTCGATAAAAATGATGATATGTCACCAAGGAGTCCCTGTGTGCCAGATTTATTATATTGAAAAAGAAATTGAGTGGGAAATTCAAGAGTTTCGTCAGTTAATAATATAATTCAAGAATAAAAAAGAACAAATAATTATGAGCAAATCAGGTAGTCTTTTGGGCTAAGAACTTAGATTCATAATAGGAAATTGTCTAATATTGTCACCCCTATTCTACCATGATAAAGTCCATGTCTTACTCCATCATGACTATAGGTATGTCACTAAATATTATATTACATTGGATAGGTAAATTACACATTTCAAACCAGTTTTTAGCTTATTTTCCTAAGCTCTCTGTTTTTCGGTTATTTTCCATTTTCTTAAAAGCTAAGATTTGGGAGGGGAAGAGAGGTTGAAGGAAGAGGGGAAAATGGAAGAAGAATTAAGGTATATCATGTAAGGGCACAAATTCCCTATGATGAATTTGATACTATGCATATCAAAAATGTACCAATAAACTTAACCAATAAAATAACTAATGTTTGTGCCTATCATTCAGAATCTGTTGGTTACAGCCTCTTTTGGGTGTAAGATGTAGGTCTGTATATAGAGGGGCTTCCCTGGTGCCCCTCTGAGTGGCTGTGGCTTCCTAGGAAGTAACAGTCATCTCCAGGCAGCACCTTTTTCAAGATGGACCTGAAATGATGGACCTGTTATTTCTTTTCTTTATTTTATGTACCAGGTATAGAACTCATGACTTCTCACTTACCAAGTAAGCACTTGAACCACTGAGCTAAATCCCTGCCCCTTCGGTGTTATTTCTTTCTTTATCTCTTAATTCTTCCAGTATTGCTTGACTATCCCTGTGTTCCACCGTGTGCCATTTATATTGTACAGTGCTGAATAATCTGCAAATACAGAAAACAAGAATGTAAGGCAATTGTTGCCCCGAAAGGTTTGGAGCCTGCTAGAGCATCTCATACATTCTGTATAAGCAGAGTCATCATAAGTCACTAGGACACAAGAGAGACAGGCAGGACAGGACAAAAGGCCTGGGAGACAGGAGAGGACACTTCACTTTACAGTGAGCACGAGAGAGGTAGGGGTACTGGACGTGGTCTTGACAGATGAGTATGATTTTCACAGCGATGGATGAAGAAAGCACATTCGGGGAGGAAACACTGAGCCAAGACAGGTGGCCCTGCTGGCCCATGCCTTCTTGCTTAGTCCACCATGAACACCTGTCCAGCTGGTCTCTGTGGGAAAGGGTGACAGTAATTACCTGTGTACCTCCATGGTCTGTATATAGGGCTCCAGCCTTGTAGCCACGGTTTGCATAATCCCAGCTCCACCCCACCACATGCTGTTGGGCAAATCAGTATTTTGAACTGCCATGTGTCACTGCCTTGGCCATGCATGGCACAGAAAGGGTGCACTTTCACCTAGCAATGCAGGTCCCCTGCCCTTTAAGCAGAGTTTCAAAATGAAAACGTGAAGCTAAGGGGCCTGACTTGCTGAAAGAAGCCAAGTCCTGGTCATCCTGCTGCAGCCTGTGTTTCCGAGGCACAGGCTGGTGCTGAGGAGGTAGAGATGAGGAAGGCACTCCACTTCCAGGCCCGGGGCTTGACATGTATTTATCTCTCTGCTCTGGAAAAGAGAGGAAGTGAAATTGTCCCAATGCTTTCTCTGCTGTTTCCAATTCAGCTCCCTTTCCCCACAGAAAGAGTTTAGTAATTCATTGCCAGAGGCCCTTTCCAGTGGCCAGGAAGAAGAAGGCGTGGTCCTTCCTGATTATTCACTAATGAAGCCTCGGATGGAGGAATTTGGAGGGAAAATGATACCATTATACCTCTACAAATGGACTGAAACTCTTGCTGGCCAGGCTGGGAACCACAGATGTATGACAGCTTTAGCACTCTGGCCCTCTCCTGGGCCTGTGACTGTACCTGTGATGGTCTTGCCATACCAGTGTGCTCCTGTCCCCACCCCGTGTGGACTCACATTCTGCTGCCTAATCGGGACCTGGCAAGTTGTCAGGGCTTTGGAAAGGAGCCAGCAGTCTCGGGGTACACTGCCTCCTGGCCAGGTTGCCTGGGGACAGAGTGCTTTGTGCACTGGTCCCACACAGGCTCCATGGAAACAAGGTGAGGGCAGAGGAGTCCACATTTTGGGGCTATGGCCTCTCAGATTTGTCTTGTGGGAGGCTGTCGTGGCCTGTGCTCACCCTGGAGCATAGATTGATGTACATCAGGATGGACAGTCCCAGGAAAACAGCATAGAGGGTCAGAACCTTGTAGAAAAAGTTGACTGAAGAGAAAGGAAGGAAACTGCCCTTTCTGATAGATCTAGCATCCATTTTCCTGAATTCAGTGTCTAGAAACAATACACTGAAGCATAGAGACTGATGTCTGGAGACTTTTGAAAAACATTGGCTCTTCCAAATCATGGCCATGTCAAACCCTGGATACTATGAGTTACCCTCTCTCCTTTCTCCTGTGTGCAGCTCAAGCTAAGGTTTGCAGAATTTTGTGCAGAACAAAGTAGCTTAATTCCTGCAGTAGGCAGGCATATGTGCCAGATTACTAGTCTCTCTCCTTTGTGGCACTCAACCTTCGCTCTCCCATTCCTTTATGACTATCACCTACAGGACTGTCACACCTTCAACACTGTTAGCTTAGTATCTCATGCTGCCTTCTGTTTTTAACTATTCAATATGATTTAACATTCATAAATATTTGATGTGTTTATGCAGTGAACTCTTGTCTATTCAAGGGAAATTCCTGGTGTTCCTTTAATGTGGCATATTAAGGATACTGCATGCCTCTTGCCTTAGCAAAACTCACTTGCTATCATTCACATAAAAATATTTTTAGATGTGAAATCTCATGTGGTTGATTCTGGAAACCCTCCCAGAAGAGGTATCTGAATTATGAGTCAGATTCATACCAAGTGAATAAGGACCTTCTCCTTCATCGTGCTTGGAAGTGTGCTGTCTTCTCTGAAAATTAACTAGCAGACATCCCAGGATGTGGGAGTCCTAAAAGTCCTAAAAGTTGTGGGAGTCATAAAGGTGCAAACTTGAAGAAAGAAATGGGCTTCCGTGCCTTTTGAACATGAGATGAGATGATGAGAGAGAAGTTGGGAAAAGGGGTTGGGCCAGGTGGGGAGGGGTGGGTTGGAGGAAACCATTGTTCAAAGTACAGTGATGTTGGTCAGGAGAGGGGCAGGACCTGGTGCTCTTGTGATGTCTGGTGGAAGGCAGTCCTTGTCCCACGTGCACTAAATGCATTGAGTTTTGCTCAATGACCCTGCATTTTGGCAGGTTCTGCTGTTTCTGGGAAGTATCATGGCTTCACCGTGCAAAGCCTGGGAATTCTCATCAGTGCTAATAATAACAGCAGTAGCTGGTGCTTGGAACACACCAGGACAGGCCTCTGGATGGTGACAAGTACCTCTGAGACCTGGCTGGAGATGTCCTTCTATGGACAGGTGAAAATCCAGGCCGGTGTTGTGGGAAACCTTCCCTAGCAGCTGACCAAACAGAACAAGAGAAATGGATCATGCTGATGTACAGCAGCTGGGCTGTAGAAACCCCTGGGAGATCTGAAGGTCACCTTCAGGGACTCATGCCACCTACACGACTTTGCAAACAGGTGCTCTTTAACTAGTGCCAGGCCTAATACTCAAAAAACTCTGGAGCGTAACTTCAGTGCTGCTAACAGAAAATACAAACTGAGCTCTTGTATCCAGAGGAAAGGTTCTAAAATAAAGTTTTGAAAGAGGAGAATTGCTCAGAGATAAAAGTCTGGCTGAAATGAATAGAAAAAGAAAATGATAGATTATGAAGAGACCTTAGAGCTCTGTACTCAATGAGCTTGTAATAATGAAGCCAGGGCAAGAAAGATTAAATGATTGTCCAAAAGAAAGTCAGAAGTAGTTCAAAGGCTAGAACCATTCATGCAGTTACTCATTTATTCAGAAACAGCTGCTGAGTACCTGGTGTTGACTGGGTACATCTTCCTGGCCTTCTATGTGGGCTCCTGACTCATAGACGAGTACGCTTGCCTCCCGCCTTGATCCTTATCTGAAAGGCCCATCTAGCATCAGACTCAGACAAGATTGGGCCCACAGATTCCCTAGATAAAAAATGAAGCTCCTTCTCAGATCTGAAAGAGGGCAGCAAGTCAAAGACATGAGAGCAGAACTGGTTCTCCCTACTAAATCACCAGATGCCGGTAGAACAGAGCATATTAAAAGCAGATGACTATGTTTGTGTTGACCTTGTAACCAAGATAGTTGCTTAGCACACACACTTTTAAAAATAGAAATGGGCTGCCTTACCTTTTGTACATAGCAAGGTGAGAGAAGTTGGGAAACAGAGGAGGGCAGGTTGGAGGGAACCATTGTGAAAAGCTCAGTGATGTTGGCCAGGAAGGGGTCAGGACCTGGTACTCTTGTGATGTCTGGTGAAAGGCAGTTTCTGTCCCATATGCACTAAATGCATTAAGTTTTGCTCAAGACCCTGCCTTTCAGCAGGTTCTGCTGTTTCTGGGAAATATCTTGGCTTCACCGTGCAAAGCCTGGGAATTCTCATCAGTGCTAATGACCGCAGTAGCTGCTGCTTGGAGCGCACCTTGTGTTCTTGGCATGGTTTATCTAACTAATCACCCTGTGAAACAGGAAGGTGTTATTAGTCCCACTTTGCAGATGAGGCAACTGGGGTACAGGGAGATTAATGGGCTTGCCTGCCTCACAAAGCAAGGCAGCTCTGAGGCTGATTTTGCCATCTGACACCCAGCCAGTCATTTTTCCTGCCTTGTTCTGCCTCCTTACCTCAGGGCAGGGAGGGAATCCAGGTTTCAATCTGCAGTGAGGCAGATAAAGACGAAGAACATTTTGTCTGGTTTCTGGATTTTCATACACATGAGAAGGTGGCAGGAGAGCCCATTCCACAGTGATTTGATGTCCTTGGTTGAGTGGGTTCATTTGGGTGCTGGAAAAAACACGGGGACTTCACTCTGTGCTTCGAGTTTCACTGCTTCAGGTTTTCTCCTTCACAAAGAGCATTCACTGGGGACGCTAGTACACATTTCCATCTGAGAAAATTGCCAGAGAAACAAGAAATAAATTCAGATGAAAAGTTTGCTACGTATTCCAGCGGTTTCTGTTGAGCTGGGGCCATTCAGTACCTGCTTGGGTGGTCCCGGTGCCCTTGGGGTCACAAAAGAAAGAGTAAGACGTAGATGGCTCTGGCTGGGAGTTTTCCAGGGAATTTCACAGCCTGACCTTCCTTTCCTCTTCTCTTACAGAGCTGCCAACTTTAGGAATTTCACTTTCATCCAACTGAATGGAGAATTTTCCCGGGGAAAGGGACTCGACGTCGGAGCCCGCTTCTGGAAGGGCAGCAATGTCCTCCTGTTTTTCTGTGATGTGGACATCTACTTCACCTCTGAGTTCCTCAACACATGCAGACTGAACACACAGCCAGGTTTGGGGCTTCTCTTTCTCATCCAGGGTGCATTGCGTGCTCTCACACCATGCTTTATGCTCTCAGAGTCTTGTTTCAGGATGAGCCCATTGGACAAAGAAAAGGCCAATCATCTAGCTTGACCGTCTTCTTTGGGTGCTGCATAGCAGGCCCGGGAGACACCATAATCTCAGGATTGTGTGTCTGAATAAGCCTTCTCTGTGTTCTTTTGGATCATCCTCAGGAGAGAGGGTGGTGGAGGACTTGGACCTGGACAGGCTGATTGGGCCCAGATGGAAAAAAGTGCCTGAGAGCAGTTACCAAGGGAAGAAGGGCTGAGAAAAGAAGGAACTCACAGTATGAAAATTGGTTCCACAGACTTGACTCAGGCATAGCCGCCATCAGCTTAGAGTTACTGGCATGGCCAAGTCGATTGCTGAAATTCTTCCATATAAATTGGTAGAGAGCAGCTGCCCTGAACTCTCCAGATTCACTTTGGCCTCCCTGGCAACCCTGAAGGCACCCCAGAAGCCAGCTTTTGAGGAGATACTCCCAAACTCTGACCCACACCCACCCCTTCTGGAGGACACCAGGGCCAGAGCCACTGATTGTCCATATCTTACCTAGTATTTCTGTGCTGGAATATTTACGAATCTGACTGTCTGGTCCACCTGCTGCTGCACTTCTCACATCTGCTCTAGAGTTGAGGGAAGGGGCAAGGAAAAGCAGAGTAAATATCTGGGATGTTTTGCAGGGCTGAATGTAAATGAACAAAACAAATAGTTGCATCTGTCACTTTTAGCAGATATGCGTTTCCTGTTTGCAGGGAAGAAGGTGTTTTATCCCGTCCTTTTCAGTCAGTACAACCCCGGGATAATCTACGGCCATCACGATGCCATCCCGCCCCTAGAACAGCAGCTGGTGAGTAATTATCCTGCAGATGCCTTTGTGTGGTTCTGTTTCATGCCTCTCATTACCAGGGGCATCTGACCATGAGGAAAGGTGGGTAGGTATCTGCAGATTGATTCCCTTAGTAGTTTTTAAGTTTGGTGGATGTTTTGGCCTTTGCTCTAAGTGCCTTGTTGATTAAAAGTGCCTGCAGTACTTTAAAGTGGAAAATAAATAGGAATAGTATCTTCCAGGAGGGTAATTTCACACCTTTGTAGTTTTCTTCTGTGGTTTGGGGAAACTAATATTATTGCATTGTGGCTGAAGCGCATTTTTAAAATCTTGCCAGGTAAGACAGGTGTGAGATTTATGTTACCATTTGTCAGCTGGAAAGTAGACATTATAAAGGGGTGGCCCACCCCAGGGCATGTGGTGAGTCTCTGGCCCTTGGCCTTCCCCATTATGTCACCACTGGTGCACGTCACTGTGGTTGGGTGGACATTGACATCAGAGGTGTCCTGGCAGCCTGGCTGTCAGAAGCGTTGTAGAGGGATTTCTGTGCCTCCCTGGGAAGGGAAGCCACACAATCTCTAGAGTGTCTATAAGCAAAGATGCCTTCACCACATCCATTCCTCAGAGGGACAGCACAGGCAGTAGGAGGACAAGGCCAACTAGAAGAGGGGTTTCTGTGCTGCGTATAGGCATAGCCCCCAAGGCTGAATTCCCATTACATAGGCTGTCTTGGTTTACAGAGGGAATGTTCCAAGAACCCCAGTGGATGCCTGAAACTTGGTTAGTACTAAACCCCTTATACCATACTTTTTCCCACATATACATCCCTATAATAAGGTTTTAATTTATAAATTAGGCACAGTAAGAGATAACAATAATTATGAAAACAAATTAAATGTCATTTACAACTTATGAATTGCTTACTTCCACAATTTCCCATTTAACCTTTCCAGACTGATTGATGATGGTAGCTTCAATCTTAGCTGAGAAAGGGTTACTCTCTTGTCAGCATCACTAGAGAGGAGAGCTTCGCCCACCACACGCCGCAGCAGGCTGGGGTCTTTCCTGCAGTGACATCCAAAGCTGTGTTCTGGCCCAGGCTGAGTCTCAGCAGGCCGTGCTGACCCCCAGGGGCTGTCTGCTCACCCTTATCTGCCTCCTGTTGCAGCAAAGCCCAGTTTGTAGCCTACTGCACTCCCCTCAGGGAAGAGGAAGGAACTCTGGTGTGGAATGTGAAGACAGATAAAACTGAGTCTCTCTTGCCCTATGCAGCAACAAAGTAAATGAGTTACCACTGTAAATATGTATTTCCTGTCTTTCTGGGAAATGCCTGTAGGTGACGGACTGTGTGTTTAAGCTTCCAGAGCAGTGAAACCTGTCCTCTGCAGGTCCGTCCTGTGCCCTTCTCCTTTCGGTGGGCTCAAGCCAGGTGGCACACCAAGAAAGAGAGTGCCCTCTTTCCCACAGAATGTTAACATCACAGATGTTCTGGGCATCTGTTGAGGAACTGGATCTGTATCTGTGCTTTATACATAAAAACCACACATTTTTATCACCCAGTTCTCACCACTTACAAGCAAAGTCTCTCCATGGAGACAGAGACTTCTTGTTTCCTAAGAGTTTTGAGCTTTGAAGTTTTTAGGGGAAAATAGTACAGATATACATTTATATACTTGCAATCCATCAGTGTTCCTTTGGTTTTAATTTGACATTATATGTGGTTGTATTTCTAGCTCAAACTCATGAACGCTTTATTTGCTTGCAAGGAATTATTTTCATTTCATAATGTGTAAGTGTCATCCTTCCATTATGATCTCTGTGGAGAATCAGGTACACAGGGGAGTTGGAGACACAGCACACTTCAGCAGGTCTCTCAGATTCTCAGACCAAACTCAAAACCATTGTGTCCACAATAGAGCTCTGAATTACCCTGCATCTTTTGACATTTATTTCCAAAATTACTTGGACTTTATAAATCTGCTCTTACACAGGTCAGTTTTTGTGATTATTTAGTCCAATGAAACACAGCAACTTGAAAGTTCCCTAAGCCCCAAAAGAAAAATGTGAATATGCATTTTATAGGACAAAGCATTTCATACGCACCTGTTCCCTCCCTAGGGCTAATCTTTGTGCTGGGGGAGAATGGCAAATGTTTCCTATCCTCTCAAGGGATCTGTGAGAGATTCACTTCCCTCTTCTTGCTATTAAGAGGGGATGACTAGTCTACGATTGTACAACCAGCCCGTAGCAGGGCTCAGCCCTGAACCAGGCTTTCTTCACACTAGCCAAGTGGAAATAGATTTGCTGAGGATCAAGATGAAAGCATAAAGGTAAAGCAAATAACTTGATGAAAACTCCAAAGGCGAACATCAAACTGCAGAAATTAATATAATGGAGACAGAGTATTAGGTGGTGAGAAGATATAAAGTAAAAAGTAATGACTGGAGATAGTTAAATTAGGGAAGGATTTCTCCGGGGTGCATTTTGGCTCAGTCTTGAAAAAGCTGCTGCACACATATTAACAAATCCTGATCGGAATACCTCAGAATCACAGGTGAGGGGAACACAGATCTAAAGCGGCTGTAATAAAAGTTTCTTACTTATGCAGTTAAGAGGCAGCCTTCCCCAGCAGCCCTGCAAATATGACCTCATTTGTCAATGTGCTGGTTTTTACTTCTCATGACTATGGCCACTGTCATTTTATATTCTAGTTACAGATTCAAGCAAGGGACTAAATTGATGATTTTTCTCCTATTCAGACAACTTGCCTCTTTACCTTTGAGTGCAGATCATTAGTAATAAGTAGCATCATAAGATTTTATACTAACACTTAATTTTTTGAGTTTTAAAATGTGAGATGAAACTTGTCAAAGTTGTAATGTACACACAGCTTGCAGAGCAAGGTATGACTATAATTTAAATAAAATTATATTGCTACTTTCCTGGTCACGTTGTTTTGATTCTTCATTAGGTCCCTGCAGGAGCTTATGTTTCTGTCTTTAAAGTCTGACTCTCCCCTATACTTCAAATTTTCTTTTACCCTCTGCTGGACATGCATTTCAAAAACACAGATTAATTCCATCTAAAAATATCCTTTATAGTTACAAAGCCAGTTTTGTGCTGATAAATGTTTAACAACCCACTGTCTGAAAGGGAAAGGAGATCCCTGATTGATAGCATCTGCCAATTTCTATGGTGTAAATATTGCCATGGTAAACTATCTCGGGTTACCAATATGATGTCACCAGATGCAGCTCACATGTTCTTGTGAGCTGGCCATTTCTGGCCTGAGTTTGGCACCATGATCCCTGATTCTTTGTTGGGATTAATTGTCCACCACTAATTCCCAATCTTATGGACAGAAAATCTTCGTAAACCTGGCACCTGATACTGACTCAATAGACTCCAAAGCCAGCCTGCTGCTTATAGCACACCTGCTCCTACTCCTTGGACATCCTTCCTTTTTAGGGCACCTCCTCATCAATGCTAGTGTCCCTAGTGTTGGACAGAAGCGCATCTGGCTGGCCCATGGTGATCCCATCATTTAAGCCTGATGGCTGTGTGCCCCTCTAGTCCCTGAGCGTACAGTATGCTGA